GAAAGATATAATTTAGTTAATACGATCTTTGTTAAACTTAAGTTATTATTATTTTTATAATTGCCTATATGGATATATAAAAGAATAATTATTTTGGAAAAACAAATTTATATAAATATAAACACACCTATAAATAATTAAGACTATTTTTTTTATTAGTATATAATTTGCTTATAGAAATCATGAAATGATATAAAAAGGAGAGTTTTTATTTTATTTCTTTATACAAAAAATTCTTCATGGCATTATTAAAACCAACTGTAATGATACTATTTTCATTTACTTTCTTATAATGTAATAAGTGCTACGATCTAAAAATTAGGTAGTTTAATAGAATTTAAGTAAATTTTCTAATGACTTACACATTAACAAGATTAAGACTATTTTTCACTTTCTCCTTTTTAATTTATTATTTATTTAAATAAAAGAAAATATTTTTATGCTTTTGTTATTAGAGTAATTTTTATGTTTTGTTTATTAGTTATACGATGAACTTATAACCTTTAGCGTTTAGGTATTTTGTAATGCTTGAAAATATATATTATTATATTTATTTTATTTTCTTCTTATAAAAATCATTTTTTTTTAATTGATGAATATGTCTAAACATGTATTCATAAAGAAGTAACTTATGTATTATTTTAAAACTTTCACATAGAAATATGATTTATCCAACGAAGTCAAAAATTATATATATATATGTAATTTTTAATAAAATAATACAAAACGAAAATGATATTTAATTTTTTTCATAAAAATATTTTTATAAAATAATTATGAATCGCAATAATATAAATTTTTAAGATATATAAAATATTATAAAGCATGTATTAAATATTTTTAATTTATACATAAAAAAATATTTATTTTCTTAAAATAAATATGTTAACGTTTTTCTAATTAAATTATATGTTTGTCACTTTTATTCATAGTTAAGCCATAAATTTTTAATATTAAATTTTAATACAAATTTCCACATTCCAACATATGTTAACATCACAAAAAAAATATCATTACATTATAATAACTAAATATTTTTAATTAAAATATTAGACTCTTGTATTCTTGTCATTTATAATACACTAATATAATAAATGAACTTCAATAAAAATGTGAAGAATTCAACTATGCAAAAAAAAATTCTTCACATATTTTTTTCGAAAAAAAGCACTGTTTCTTAATGATATGTATACAAGAAACATTATAATGATAAAAATTCTTAAATAAAGCATTAGCTTTGTGCATATAAAATTATTAATTGTTATATTTTTAATTTATTCAAACATTTTCCTCTTATTACATAAATTCATTGAAAATTAAAAAATACTATTATATATATAAAACTAGAATAACCAATTTGGTAAAAATTTATAAATATTTTTAAAACTATTTTTACAATGTGCTTCAGTGATAATTTTTTTTTTTTTTATTAAAAACACACTTTTTAACATTCATCATTTTATATCATCTATATATATATTTTATATTACAGAGATTTTTACTTAATTTATATTAATATTATATATTATTGGTTAATAAAAGGCTCCATTAACCCTTTTGGAAAATAAAAGGAGTAGTTAAATGAAGTATACGAAGTTGGTCATGCATACACACACAAAAATAAAAAAAATTGATGATTTTTTTTTGTTTGTACTTTTTAAAAAGAAAGTACAAAGACTGTCATAAAAAAAAATTTCATTAAAAAAATGTAAAAATAGTCAGGAAAAAAATTGATTAAAAAAAAATCACTTTTTTTTAATATTTGTTACTAAGAAATAAATAAAAAAAAAAAAAAAAAAAAAAAAAAGATTTTTTTTTTGGGGAATAGAGGTATTAAAATGAAATATTTTTATGATGAATTTTAAAAAAGAAAATTTTATACATATAAAAATAAAATTTTCATGTAATTAATATTTATATAATTTATTTTTGTTTTTGTTAATAATTGTTTATGTTTGTTAATTCAACAGCCATATAAAATAATTGCTTAATATAACTCATAACAAATAAACTAGTAATTATAATTAATTAATAATTATTGTTTAGTAAGTATTTAAATTTTTAATAAAAATAAGGATTTTTATTAAAGTAAATAAATACTTATTGAAATGAAAGAATGCTGAAAGAAGTAGATTATAGTTAAAGATCACTTGTTCAAAGCAAATAAAAATAAATATAAATATACAAAAATCGTAGAGAAATCTCTACATGCTCCTTATTAATTGGTTTGTTCTGTACTATAGTAAAGTCCCCGAACACCCAGTTAATAAACCAATTATACAAATTTTTCTTTTACATAAATAATTCTAAATATTTAATTTCTTCTATTGATATTAATTCTTTATTCTATGATATTTTTCTTTTTTTTTTTTTTTAAATATTCATACCATTATTATAAAGAAATGCAAATTATTTAAATAAAATTATCTATATATTGAAAAAAAATTTAATAAAAATTTTGATTAAGTACGACTTTTTTTATTACATTATATTTTGTTTCAACTATTTTACTAATAGGAAGAATAAATGATATTTGTTAATTTTTGTATATATATTTTAACTATTGTTTAATATTATTTATACATGCAAATGATTTATAAAAAAAAAAAAAAAAAAAATTAAGAGTATTAGTAAATCCTTTTATACTTAAATTGTAACTTATTATTTATTTTTTTATAATAAGATCTGCATTTTAATTAAACATAATATTTATGCAAATATTTAATATATTCATATTTTTATATAATGATTTAAATATTAATACATTGTTCTAATGTTCATTTTCATTGTAATTTCAACTTAAAAATTATCATCTTATATTTATATTTTTTTTTTAATTTATATAGTATATAAGGTAGTACTTGCTATTATTAGTATCCTAATATTTAATTTTTTTTTAAGACAAAGATTTTTTTTTTAATACATTTTTTTTATGAATTATTTTATTTAGAATTAATTTTTCAATTAAATTTTTTTTTGTTTTATTCAATTGTGCAAAAAATAAAAATAGATTAATGTTAGAAAATATAAAGTAAATAACATGAATCTAAAAAAAATATAAAAAAAGGAATGATTTATATTTATGTATTAATAAATCTTTTTATGTATAACGTATTTAGAAAGAAATATTTTTATTAATAATATAAAGAATGATAATGAATATAAAATTTTTTAGCCATTCCTTATTTAAATACTTTATCTTATTAATTTTTTTTTCTTTTCTGTAAAAAATTTACGAAATAAAAAATATGATGCTTAAAAAAATGATTATATATTTCACATATTCATTGAATAAATTCTAAAAATTTACAAAGGAATGTACATAGGATAATTTGCAAAAATAATGATGTAATTTTTAGTACAAAAATATAAATTAACTTAATAAAAAGTAATAAAATAAAATAAACTATTAAAATTAATGAAAATTTTATAACTATTTATTTGATAATGCAACATTTCTATATGTTTCTATTGTGATTTTTTCTTTTTTTTTTTTGTAAGTTAACAACATTTAAAAGAAAAATTAAAATTACATTGATTAAATTTATATTTCGAATTTTTTATAATAAATAATATATATATCTAAATAAGTTCATATAATATTCTGTTATTTTTGTAAAAATTTAAGAGTAAAATATTTTTTTTTTTTTTTTTTTTAGAAAATATTCCTTTAAAATTAAGAATCAAATATTATGTAAAAAAAAAGAATTCTTAGATATAATATATCAATGTATTTAAAAGTTTTACCATTAGTTAATTTTTTGTTTAATTTTTTTTTCATAATAAGAAATTTTTTTTCTTAAATTAGCATGAATAATTTGTTACATTCATAATAAGAATGAAAATTAATGAAGTAATTTTATATTTCATAACAAAAGTTTTAAAGCAATAATTATAGAACCAATATAATGAAAAAATAAATAAATTATATACATGCTGATAAAATAAGAATAAATTTAAATAAACAAAGTAATAATTAATATTTATATCTTTTTATTATAATTTGTTAAAATTTAAAATTATTGATATTTTGTTATATACTACTAAATGTGTTTCTACAATAATATGAACTAAAATAACATACATGCTAAAAAACATTATATACTAAATATAGCTCACTATTGAAATAAATTAATAACAAAATAGAATTGCTTAAAGATAAAAAAAAAAAAAGTTATTATTTATTTGTGTTACTTTATAATTTAAAAAAAAAATATAATATATAATGATGAACAATATTTTAATATTTTATTTGAATTAGTAAATTTTTCATATTTACAGTTAATAACCCTATTAATTCTATTAAATATTTTAAATTTACGAGAAAAAAAAAAATTAGTATAATTAAAAACATTTCTAAAAAAAATCTCTTTTTTTTAAAAATTTATTTTTTTTTTAAATTTTATATTAAATTGAATATATATGATAAATATTTAGTAAACATGAAAGAATATAATGAGTGCTTTAATTTTTCGTATTCTTTTATATCTAATTATTTTTTTCTCAATATAGGTTTTAAATAAAATATAATTATTTTTTATTTAAAAGAATATGTTTTATTAATGTATATTTACTTAAATGTTAAGTTATTTTTAGTTAATTTTTATGATTCTATAATTATTTACATAAAAACAATATATCTAAATTAAAAAATCCTAATTTTTCTTAAATACTTATTTAACCTTCTCTAAAATTTATTTTATAGAAAATATATATAATGGGTGTTATTAATTATTTATAGTTGAAAATGAAGTTTTAATTTTTAAGTATATTTTTTTTTCGTAATATTAATCTACCAATATTTTAAATGAATTTAAACTAATATATAATATGGAACATTTCTTCTTTATTTATTATTTTTTTTTTTTACAATTTTATATATATAATCAATATAATATATTTTTTTTATATAAAAGGTTATTAACAATATTTTGGTTTGAATTTAACTACATTAAAGTAAATTATGTTATAAAGAACATTGAATATATTATTTATTTAATATGTCCTATAACCAAATTAATACCACTACAACTCCTGGATTACCTTTAAATATTTCTTTACATAATGAGCTACATAATATAACTAATAATAAATATAAATCTATAAATCCGTATAAATTTTTATTTTTTATTTTTGTTGTAATTTACCTTATTGTAAAATTATTTTCTTGTAGATTATTTCGATGTGTTCAGGTATTTTAAAAAAAACATTTAAAAATGCATATTTACATTTCCATTTTTTTTTTATATATACAAGTAATTATAATTTCATCAAAATAAAGGTACATCGCAGACAACGCAGGGATAATAATTATGATTTAATATCTATAGATTCTGGCTATTTCGAAAATTTTCACGAAGATGGACAAGAAGAAAATGTAGATTAATTCTTAATGTCTCCATAAATCTTAGGAAATAATTGTAACTTATTTTAAATATATTTATTATATTTATTTTTTTTTAATATATTCTTATAAATAAAATACATTATATAATATTCCTTATAATTAAATTTATAAATTTGTTCTCATTTTATTTTTTTTAATTTTTTTTTTGAAAATTTATGTTAATAATACATCAAATTCAAATGCTTTTTATTATTTCTTTTTAATTATTTGGATAAATAATAAATGAGTAATAAAATAAATATTTCTATTTTCTTTTTTTAAAAAATCAGTGCTTTATTGAATAGATGTATAAATTTATATGATCTATTTCTTAAAGGGTATTAACTATTATTATAACTAATAAATATATAATTTAAATTATATGTATATCATTATTCATACAATAAAAATATTTTTTATATTTAAATCACTTTTCAAATGTTTAATAAAATGTTTTATTTATCTTATTCAATACTATATTTTTATTGAAAGGCTAAATAAAGAGTTATTCAAAAACATATCTATCTAGAACTTTAAAATTAAATTTTTTCTTGTCATACATTTTTATTTAATGAGTAATCAATCATATCTAATTTTTATATAATAAAATAATTATGTAATGAAAAGTTCATAATGAATTAATATGATTAAGGTCCTAGAGAAATAAATTTAAACCATAATGTTTTTTTAAAATATTTTGCTTTTACATTGAGTAATATGAAGACATACATACGATAATTTAATTAATAATTACGACTATTTTATTCTAGATTTTATAGAGATTCTAAGATTAATTTCTCTTATCACTTTAAAAGGGGATATTAATTAATATAATAATTCATTAATGCATGTTATTTTATTTCGTAGCTCTTTTTTTTGTGCATTTATTAATGTAGAGAATATTATTATATAAATTTTTATGTTCATTAAAAAAACTATGTAAAACAATAAAATAGTTATTAAAATATTATGAAATTTTTTTTTTTTTTTTTCATTTATATTAATAATCAAAATAATAATTAGAATTTCATTAAAAGTTAGGCTTCTGGTTTTTAATGAGTAATGTCTGTATGGAAAATAAAAAAATAGCCATGCAAGCGCAAGGTAAAAAAAAAAATTATCTAATTTTTTTTGTTTTGTTTTTGTAAACTTAAAATACACAAAAAAAATGTATTAACTTTTTTTTATTTATATGATTTAATAATTTCAAAATAAAATGAAAAGCTGCTTAAAATGTTTCTTTGTAGGGAATTTTTTTTTTAATTTATACAAGAAATTTTAATATTGACGATAATAATATTTTCATGTTTTGTAGTTATATACAATTTATTTTGTTAATTACTTAGGTTTGTTAATTTGATAGCGATGAATTTAAATTACTAAAAATTATTCATAACATTAAAGTAAAATAAATATAATTAAAAATCAATAATCAATGGCAACTTAAATTTTTAATAAAAATAGAGAGTTTTTATTAAAATAAATAAATTTCTCTTAATAATAATAAATTCTCAATGATTTATACTATATAAATATGGTATACTAATTCATATCACTAAAATTATATTTGAATTCATTAAATTATTACAAACATCTTTATCTATTCTTTATTAATTGGTTTTTTCAATACTCTAGGAATGTCATTGAATAGACTGTTAATAAATCATGTAATAGTTTAATTCTTTTTCGTTCTTTCTTAGTTTTTTTTTTAAAAAAATGACTTAAAAAAAAAAAATTACTTTTTTTTTTGAGTGGGTGATTTATTAACTGGGTGTTCGGAGACTTTGCTAGAGTACTGAACAAAACAATTAATAAAGAGCATGTAGAGATGACTCTACGATTTTCTTATACTTATGTATATTCTTATATGCTTTGAACGAATGATCTTTAATCATAAACTACTTCGTTCAGCATTCTTTTGCTTCAATAAGTATTTATTTACTTTAATAAATAAATCCTTATTTTATTAAAACTTTAAACACTTATTTAACATTAACTATTAATTGATTATAATTATTAGTTTATTCATTACAAGTTACAATCGGCAATCATTTTATATTGCTATCGAATTAACAAAACACAAATACTTATTAAAAATGCAAATAAATTATATGCATATTAATTACATGAAAATTTTATCTTCATATGTATAAAATTTTCTCTTATAAATTCAAAATATGAATATTATGCAAATTAAACACTTTACAAAAATATCATTATCTTCTTAAAAAAAATCTCTCTCTCTGATTTTTTTTCTCTCCAAAAAAAAAAATTTAAATCTTTTTTTTTTATTTTTTTTTTTATCTTTATCTTTTTCGAAAGAAACATTTCTCAAAAAAAAAATCCAATAATTTTTTTTTTTTTTTTTTTTTTTTTTTTTTAGTTAGCACAACTAACTATGTATTCTCCACATAGCTAGTCCTTTTATAGCCAAAAAGGTTAATGAAGCTTTTTATTAACCAGTGGGTGATGACGCATAATAATTTTTTTTATGCATTATTAAGGATGTAATGTTAAAAAATACATCCATAGAATATCGTGTAAATTAACCAAAATAGTATTTAACCAGTGTAATTAATATTCCATATTATTTAAAAAAAAAAATCAAATAATTTTTTTAATATTTTTATTTTAATAAACATAAAATAAATAGAGCTTTCTCCAAGTGCTCTTTATTAATCAGTTTATTCAATACTAAGTCATTTAGCGAGTAATTAATAAATTAGACATTATGTAAATTAATTTAAATAATAAATAATTTAATTTATTTTATTTGAGTGTAATAAGTAGAGTTTTCTCCACATTCTCTTTATTAATTTGTTTGTTCATTACTATTAAAGTCACTGAACATGCAACTAATAAATTACGAATATTATGTATATTTTATAAACGTGTGTTAACTACATTTCAAAAAGTATTCATTTTTTGGATATCTATTTTTCTTTTTTATGTGCAAACATAATATTATTGAACGTATCATCATGCATATTTCCCTTCATCTCTTTTAATTAACTTGAATACATATGAAATACTTTAAAATAGGTCACTATCATTTCATACATTTTCAAAGTGTTCCATGAAGCCTTATATTACCCAAATGATTTACTATTTGACTAGTTAGTTTATAAATAATATTGTTGGTCTATTTTCATTAATATTTAAATAAATAAAATGATTAAAAATATTTCTATTTATTTATGCTAAAATGAAAAGGAAACGTATGAACTAAAAATATAAACATGTAAAAACGTTTGTGCAATAAAAAAAATACTCACCTTAAAAGTAAATATACTAAAAATGAAATAGAATTACTATGTTATTTTTTTTTTTTCGTACTTACAATTATACAAAAATAATATATATTTTTTTTTTTTATATGTGACTTTGGTTAATAAAAGGCATTATTAACCTTTTTGGAAAATAAAAGGATTAGTTAAATGAAGAATACAACGTTTGTCATGCATACACACACAAGAAAAATATTTATGATTTTTTTTTGTTTGTACTTTTTTTTAAAAAGAAAGTACAGACACTGTAAGGAATCAAATTTGATAAAAAAATGCCAAGATCGTCAGGAAAAAATTGATTAAAAAAATGAATTAGAAAAATATTTGTTACTTATAAATAAATAAAAAAAAAAAAAAAAAAAAAGAATTTTTTTTTTTAGGTAGAAAATGAAATAATTTTTTTGTGATGAATTTTGTAAAAGAAAATTTTATACATATAACAATAAAATTTTCATTTAATTAATATTTATATAATTTTTTGTATTGTCAATAATTGTTTATGTTTGTTAATTCAACACAATATATATTAATTGCTGAATGTAACTCATAACAAAGAAACAAGTAATATACAATTAATTAATAATCAATGTTTAATGAGAATTTAAATTTTTAATAAAAATAAGGATTTTTATTAAAGTAAATAAATGCCTATTGAGATTGAAGAATGCTGAATGAAGTAGATTACATAATTAAGGATTACTCGCTCAAAGCATTTAAAAATATAAATGAATACATCAAAATCTTAGAGGTAACCATACATGTTCTTTATTAATTTGTTTTTTCAGTACTCTAGAAAAGTCACCGAACACCCAATTAATAAACCTTAATATCAACTTAATAGTATAAATAAATAAAAATAACAAAAATTATAAAAAATTTTCAATAATTATTAAATTTTTAATAATTAAAATTTATAAATATTATTATAAATATTCATAAAAAAATATGTTTCATCTTTAATATTCCCATAAAAAAATAATAAACCCTCATAAAAATCAAATAAAATACTATTAAAAATAAAATAAATTTACTTTTCTTACGGACTTTTTCATTAAATTATCTATTGTAATTTATCTTGTATGAGCACAAATATTTAAAAAAATAAAGAAGATAAAATTTATTATTTTATTCAATTTTTTTTTTTTATAAAGAAAAATCAATCAATCCCTTGAATTCGATTCACATTTTCAATCATTTTTTTTTTTCGATATAAAAAACTTTTTGCTAAAAAATTTTTGTTTATAAATTATTGTTATTTTAATCTTCTAAAAAGATTATGAGAAATAATTATAAAAAAAATAACAAAAAAATAATTTTACGTTTCTTTTTGTTTATAATAAAAAATCCTAAAATAATAAAAAATATTTCCTTATATCATGTTAGATATATATATATGTATATTACCAAATAAAAATTAATAAAAAAATAAAAAGTTTAATATAATTATAATGAAAAAAATAAAGTGCATTAATCATTAACATAAATTAATTTTTTTTTTTTTTTAATGCATATATTCCTCCACAAATAAAACTAAATTATAATGCACTAATTTATCAAAAAAAACTTAAATGTTATAATAAAAAAAATCGGAATAAGTTTGATCAATGTTTAAAATTTAATAATTTAACAACAAATAATGTAGCTTTTTATAATTGTAATTATTTCATCTATTAAACTTAATATAATATATTTATAAAAATATATACGAATAGCCAAAATAGTATATTGTAATTATCAATTTTAGAATTTACATATATATATTTTACTTCTTTTTTTTTTTTTACTTATTTTACATTTTCTATAAGTGACAGTTAGATCTTTTAAAATAAGAATTATAAATTATTAAGTAAATTATGCTATTTATTTATAAAAACCATATACTACTTATAAAATTTTACTTCAACTATTCAAATTTCATCTTCATAAAAAATTTGCTTTAAAAATATTATATAATAATTAAATATTTTATTCAAAATATCAAAATTAAATAATTAAATTATCGCTTCAAACTTATATTCATATTCATATAATTATATAGAAAATTTAAGAAAACACAGAAAAAATCCTAAATATGATTTCTTTTTTTCATACAAATTTTATAGTATAAAATAAAGTTTTACATTAAATATTGTTTTCTTTTTTTTTTTCTTAATGTTAATTTTATAAATTAAATTTTTATTTTATTTATCATAATTTTTCATTTTTTTTAAAAATTAATTACATTATTATTATATGAAAATTACAATAATTTAATATTTAACACAAAAAGCAAACAGAAAATTCCTTTTTCTTCGAATTGTGATTTTTTTGTTGCATAAAATGACAATTTCAAATATAAATAAATTTATTATATAGTTATCACATAAGCACAAGTGTGGTCATTTCTACACGGAGATTATAACGGTTTCCTGATGTAATTCAAGTGTACAATGATACTAAAAAATAATAAAAATAGCCATATTCAATTTTTTAGTAAAATTAAATTATTTTTCTTCTTTAATTGGATTGAAGAATGCCTTTTTTATGTATGATAAAACTCAAATGTAAAATAAATGAATATTTATTTATTACCTTTTTCTCTTCTTTAAATTTTCGCCTTTATACATTATTGATATAAAAATTTATTTTTCGTAATATATCAATTTTTAAATGTTCTTACAGAATTTTTTAAGAAAACCTTGTCAAACAACAGCCATGAAAAAGAACTCAACTTCAAAAAATGCAAGATTATTAACAGAATTAGAAGAAATTTCCTGCATGTTAAATCAAAAAAATGCTACAATTGAAAACAATAATAATTTATCTAATGATACAATTAAGCTCAATACAGAAATTAAATCATTTATGGATGATACACGTAATGAACTTCAATTTTATCTTGAAGACAATAATATTAAGAATGACACAGAAAAATGTCAAAAGGCATCCTCATACATAAATTGGAGAGGAATGGACTATGTTAATTTGCTATTAAGTGAAAAAGAAGATTATAATATCTCCTGTCTTGTTGAAAAATGGAATAAGAAAAAAGGGTCTTTTGAAAAAAGTATAGATGAAGAAATAAATTCAACATGTAATGTAACAACTTTTGATTATTGTGCTATTTTGAATAAAAATGAAAACTGCACTAGACCTTATGAATATAATGATCTATCAGTAAGCCCATTATTAACATACGATCAACTCAATAATGCTACTTATAGTACTAATAAAACTCAAATTATTGAAGATAGACGGTTAAGTTTTCTCAATATTACTAATGATATGTCTTATTACCATTTCAGGGTTTACGAGAAAGATAGATCTGAACGTAATTGCGGGAAATGGAGCATGTATATATATAAGAGAGGAAAACAATTTGTTAATATGGCGGAAAATGAATTATATGATGATCATTTATATATAAATGATTCTATTAGAATATGGAATGCTCATAGTAATACATTGCAAAATACTGAGTTAGAAGACACTGGTATTCAATGTAATATGACAACATTAATTCATCAAATTAAAGAGAGACAAAATACAGCTGACCCATATAATTTAGATTGGCTTTCTTCAAATAGCACTCAAAATAAATCTAATGAAACTTTAAATAATACTACTACATTACCAGATGTCTTACAACCTACCACTGTAACTCCTAAAGAATTACTTAATGCTACTACTACAAATTTATCAGATAATAATACGACTATTGTTAATAACGTAAATAATGTGAATTCCTCTGAAAATACATTAACAAATGTCACCTCAGTACCGCCAGTTACTGAAGATCAAATTGACCCAAAAACTTCAACCACAAGTTCGCCAGTAGACTCAACACAATCCAATTCTTTAACTCTAAAAAAAACAATGCATTCTATTACTAATAATATATCTAACACAACCTCATCATCACATTCCCCCAAGGTTGTAACATCTCCTACAACTGAAACATTACCTTCAAATTCTACTACAAGTAGTGGCACACCTTCAGTTACACCTTTACCTGGAGAAATATCTGCTACAACGGCCATTGATTATTCTAATACTACTATGAAGTCATTTACAAATAATACTGCACCTTCTACTACTATCACTCCACCTCTTACAACTGCATCTTTGCCTCCTGAAAGTGCAATTTCTGTAAAAAAAATTATACCTACAAATAGCACTGAATCTCCTACAATTGATTCTTCTCCTACAACTATGACTACAACTCCTTCACATAGCTCTCCACCTTCACTACCTTCATCTACTCCTACGATCACCATTTTGCCTTCCACAAATAATTCTGTATCCCCAACTGATAACACAGAACAACCTACATCTACAATTGACTCTTCTATAAGTGGTAAAAAATCTTCGTCAATACATAAGCCTGCAGATTCTATATCTAATATGGAATCTTCTACGAGCAATACTACACATTCTGCAGCTACATCTTCTTTTTCCACTGAGATTAAACCTTCTGCAACTACATCATCAATTTCCTCTAAAAATATATCTGTTATTAATCACGATTCTCCCACAGATGATATGAATACTTCTAAAATTAATTATGAATCCATAAATACAACTGAAGCTTCTACAATTACACCTAAACCCTCTATGCCTACTATTGTGTATCCTACAACTGTAACTGAATCTTTTAAAGATGGATCTATACTCCCTACTACTGTAGATACTAATATTACTACCACTTCACCTTTAACAGATAGCTCTACACCTTTCTCGATAAATGGCATTGAAAATTCTACTACCACTATTGAACCATCTACAAACAGAGTTGCATCTCCTGAAACTGACGTTATATCTCCTGCAATTAACACTACATCTCTTATGTCTGATATTACATCTCCAACTCCACTTTTGTATTCCCCTGATAATACATCTATTCTCACAAATACAACTGCTATTGTTCCTATAACGAATAACAATTTACCTTCAAATCAGACAGATATTATCCAAACGCAGAACCAACAAAATATACATGCCCCTCTTAAACAGATTCAACAACATGTAAATGTAAGAAATTGTACTGAAAACACTTTACCATGTCCAAATGCGACTGTTCCATATACTTTGACGCCAACCAAATCAAGTGACCCTATCGAAGTTCCGCCTACGGTTACACCTAAAGGTGATTTATTAATACCAATGGTTTCAGGAGGTATTTTTCTTTTAGGAATTATTTTTTTTTTGATTCTTCTTTGTAAAGTAAGATAAAAATAACATTTAAAAATGAAGAAACTTATATATTTAAAATCACAATTACATTAATGAAGAATTTTTATAATTTTTTATTTTTTAATTTGAATTATAGTATACTCCTATTGGATCTTGGATTCGTAATAGGAAGTCAAAAAAAAAAAAAGCAAGAAAAAAGATTAAGAAAATAACAAGGGAACCGTTGCTAATGGATACAAATAATACAAAGAATGAATCAATAAATAGAGAAAATTATTCATTCCTACACCATGAAAAAGAAATACCACTATGTGATATGAGTTTGAAAAATCGAAAAGATTTGAAGTATAAAGAAGTGAAGAAATCCAAAGCACATAAAGGAATGCATATGGAAAATGAAAAAGATTTGAAGTATAAACAAGTGAAAAAATCCAAAGAGCATGACGGAATGTATATGGAAAATGAAAAAGATTTGAAGTATGAACAATTAAAAAAATTCAAAGAACATGACGGAATGTATATGGAAAATGAAAAAGATTTGAAGCATGAACAAATAAAGAAATTCAAATCGCATGAAGTAACGTATGTGGAAAATGAGGATGATTTAAAGTTTGAACAAATGAAAGAATCCAAAGCAAATGAAGGAATGTATATGGAAAATGAAAAAGATTTGAAGTATGAACAAATAAAGAAATTCAAATCGCATGAAGTAACGTATGTGGAAAATGAGGATGATTTGAAGTTTGAACAAATGAAAGAATCCAAAGCAAATGAAGGAATGTATATGGAAAATGAAATAGATTTGAAGTATGAAGAAATGAAGAAATCCAAAGCACATGAAGGAATATATATGGAAAATGAAAATAAATGTATTCGTGAAGTTGTAGATATATCAAAGAAGCACGAAAATGAATCGATATTGGTAGAAAAATTATATCCAGATGATCCTAGAAATGAAATTGAAGAAATTGAATTGAACGTAAATAAATCTAGAAATGAAATTAAAGATGAATTAAATAAAAATATATTAGAAAAAGACCCTGTTCATATTGTATGGCATATTAGTAATGGCACATTAAATGAGGAAAAAGCAAATGAAATAAATTCGCAAAAAGAAAAATCTACATGTGAAAATGAAATGAAAAATTTAGAAAATAAAAGATCACTTAATGATGAAGTATGTAGTTGGAATACATGGATAAATATACATTTGATAGCCTTACTTGAGTATAAAAAAGAAGAATGGAAATTGAATAAAACCGAATTTTTTAATATTTGTTTAGAAGAGATCAAAAAAGATGGAGAAAATTCTAATTTAAAAGATATGGGAAATAATTTTGTAATGAAAATAAAAGAAGAAAATACTACCGATACAATAGATAAAAATAGTAGTATATTAGATAAATATAAAAATGAAGAATGGTTTATTAATTTGAAGAAAGAATGGGAACAAGAACAAGAAAAACACTTACAATATTTAGAAGGACATGAAATTAAAAAAATGTCAGAATTGGGATTAAACAATTTTATTCTAGGTAAAAAAAAAAATATATGGAAGAAATGGATAGAATGGAAAATAGAGCATTCACACAAATACAAAAATCAGAATTGGTTTATAAAATTGTTAGAAGAATATGAAAAAGAAGATATTCATGAAAATATAAAAGAAGAAAAAATAGAGAATAAAGGAAATAATGGAATAGATGAATGTGAAATGAAGAAAAATTTGGAAAGTAGAATTTTGTTAGACATTTATATGATGGTATTAGAGGAATGTACGAAAGAAGAGTGGGAAAAAGAAGAAGAATTTTTTAAAGCAAATATGGAAGAGATAAAAAAATATAAAAATTTGGAGGAAAAAACAAACATATTAGATAAAATAGAAAGCGAAAGAAGTTGGAATTTTATATCAGAGAAAAAAAAAGAGCAAATAGAAAAATGGAAAAGAGAAAAATGGTTTATTGAGTTAATGTTAGAATGGAAAAATAATGAAGAAAAATATATGATGGAGACAAATAAAGAAATTTTAGTAAAAAAGAATAAAGAAAGAATAATAAATGTTATCTTAGAAAAAAAAAGAAATATATGGAAAAAACATTGTGAAAATATTTATAGAAAGTGGAAAGAAGATGACAACAATGAAGAATGGTTTACAAAGTTAGTTAATATATATGAAAATGAACAGAATGAATATAAAAATAGAATTTATAAAAATAGTATAGGAAAAAAAAAAGAAAATGTGAAAAACATAGAACGTTGTGAACCAGCAACAGAGTTTAACAAAAAGGGAGAAGAAAAAATGAGAAAATATGAAAGGAATTGTTTAGAGGAATCATATGAAAAGAATAATTCTATAATAAACAAAAAAAAACTAAAATGGAAGACTTTAATAGAAATATATATGGTAATATTCGAGGAATATAGAAAAGAGGAGTGGTTATTGAATAGAGGAAAATTTTTAGAAATCTGTTTAGAAGAATTTATAGAAGAAGAAAAAGAAAAATATCCAAAAAAAATAGAAAATGATTTAGAAATGATGAGAGAAGGGGAAGAAGACATTAGTACATTGATGATTGAGAAACAAAAAATTTTATGGAAAAAATGGGTAAAAAGAAACAAAAGAATGTCAGAGAAATGGAAAAATGAAGAATGGTTTATTAATTTGAAAAAAGAATGGGAAAAAGAACAAGAAAATTTTGATGAATTAACAAAAGAATCAGAAATATCAGATATAAAAGCAGGAAAAAATCCTATGCTAGAGAAACAAAAAAGAATATGGAAACAATGGATAAAAAAACAAAGAATGTGGTTTATACAACATAGCGAAGAGGAATGGTTTAATGATATATTAGAAGATTATGAAAAAGAACAAGAATGTATGAAAGGAATAACTAAAGAAGATACGAAAAAAGCGAAGGAAATTCATGAAAATATAAAGGAATTTAAACAAGAAAGAGATGAAGAAATAAAAAAATATAAAAAAAAAGAAAAATTGATGCAAAAGGTTTTGATAGAAATACATATGACGCTATTAGAAGAATGTTTGAAAGACGAATGGCAAAAAGAAAAAGAATATTTTTTTAAAACAATGATGGAAGAGTTGAAAATACAAGAAAATTTAGATGAACATGTTATCATATTGGAAATAAAAAAAAAAAGAAGTAGGAATGCTATATTAGATATTGAAAAAGTGGAAATAGAAAAATGGAAAAAGAAAAAATGGTTTATAGAGTTAATGTTGGAAATGAATAACAAGGAAAAAAAATACATAAAAGACATATATGAAGATATGATAGCAAAAAGGAATGAAGATGGAATTAAAAATCCCATGTTAGAAATGCAAAAAATTATATGGAAAAAACACTGTGAAGATATTCATAGGAAGTGGATAGAAAAAAATAATAAGGAAATTTTACAACACTAATTTATTAATAAAAAAATGTTGATAATGAATAATAAAGCAATATTTATAAATAGAGTATAGGAGAGAAAAATAGATGTGATGAAACAGTAAAATTACGTAAAACAGTAGAAAAAATTTTAGAAGTTATAAATAGAATTATTGAACATTTTGAATTGTTGTTAGGAAATAAACTTAAACTTTATTATATGTTTAGTCATTGATTCATTAAATTAATCATTCAATAATTTTGTTAGAATATTGATTTATTAATTTCTTGTATAATTAATTTTTCTTATGTTGAACAAATAAATTAAATATATAGTGTGTAGATATAACTATAATTATTTTATTTAGAATAAAATAAATCATTACATGAATCATTTATTTTTATTAACTAATATTAAATTTTAACTCTGTTGTTAATTGTTTTAGCCAATCTATACAATACAAATGTAATATCTAAGGTTATGTTATTTAATCTTTCATGCAAAAAAGTGTAATACCCATCGCATCACCAAAAAAAAAAAAAAAAAATTATTATTCTTGTTTTTAAAATGAAATTTTTTTTTTCTATTAAAAAAAAAAAAAATAATAAAATTATTGACATTTATTTT